TCTTTCTTTCTTTCTTTCTTCTTTCTTTCTTTCTTTCTTTCTTTCTTTCTTTCTTTCTTTCTTTCTTTCTCTTTCTTTCTTTCTTTCTTTCTTTCTTTCTTTCTTTCTTTCTTTCTTTCTTTCTTTCTTTCTTTCTTTCTTTCAGATTTTATTTATTTGACAGAGAGAGACACAGCGAAAGAGGGAACACAAGCAGGGGGAGTGGGAGAGGGAGAAGCAGGCCTCCCACAGAGCAGGGAGCCCGATGCGGGGCTCGATCCCAGGACCCTGGGATCATGACCTGAGCCAAGGCAGACGCTTAACGACTGAGCCACCCAGGCGCCCTCCTTCAGGCATTTCAAACCACAGTATATGAGTATGTATTTCTCTATACTTTCTCTGATAAAGGTTATTATTGTTTATACTAAGTTAATTTATTTTTAAAAAGTTGTCTTTTACTTTTTAATCTAATTTTTCATAAGTGGGTAATACATGCATGTTGAAAGTCAGAAAAATTCAGATCCATGCAAAGAACAAAATAAAAATCACCTGTAATCCCACCACATACAGAGAACCACTATGAATACTTTCGTGATGAATTTCCAGAGTTTTTATAGATTATATACACTTTTTTAAAAACTGGGATCAGGGGCTCCTAGGTGGCTCAGTTGGTTAAACATCCGACTCTTGGTTTCTGCTCAGGTCATGATTTTGCAGGGTCGTGGGACTGAGCCCCATATGGGGCTCCGTGCTCAGCAGGGAGTCTGCTTGAAGGTTCTCTCCCTCTACTCCTCCCCTGCTTGCATGCTCTTGTGCTCACTCTCTCTCTTAAAAATAAATAAGTAAATCTTGTAAAAAAATGGGGCCAAAAGGTGTATACAGTATTAATATATTTATTTCAATAAAGAGTACAGTAAACTATATATAAGTAAATACAATTTTGGGGCCAATATTATAACTTCATGCCATTGTACAGACTCAACATTAATTTTTTTAACCACTATTGGTCAAATAAGTTATTTGCAACCTTTGACCATTACAAATAAACTGTAATAAACATCTTTGTAAAATATATATTCAGTCGTTGGTCCAGTATTTTTAAAGCTGTTTTTCTATTAGTGGAATTACTAAGTCAAAGAAGATGCATATATGTATATGTAAGGATCTTCATCTCTGATGCTGGATTGAGCTCTACAAAGGTAATGCTCATTTACATTCTCACAGCGATGAAGGAAGCCCATTGGTCTAGCCTTTCGTCAGTGGCTTTTATCAAATTTTAAAGAAATCTTTGTCAACCTGCTCAACTCACAGTGATAACATAGTTTGAATTTCATTTTCTAATAATATTTATCCGGTATTTATCAACCAGTTGTGTTTCTCATGTGATGAATGGCTGTCCATATCCTCTTCTCATTTTTACATTGAGATGTTTATCATGTTCTTAATGATATACAGGACCCCTTTCTATGAAAAATATATTTAATTCATACATTAATTTGTCACATATATTGTAAATATTTTTCTTGACTTATCTTTTGCTTTTTTATTTATGGTATTTATTGTACATAGCAGGGTATCATCTTTATCTAGCCCATTTATTAATCTTTCTTACCAATCTTTACCTTTGGTGTTCACACTTAGAAATGTCTTCCCCACCCAAGATGGTAGAAATATACAACTAGTTTAAAATTTTTTCAATATTAATTAGGAATATTTTACATATATGAAAAGCACACTAATGTAACAGCACTAATATCAAACAGATATTTATATGATGTACATTTACTTCAGTTCCCTTTTCTTCCTCCCTTCTCTTTATGTCACAGATAAAACTAAAGCTTGATCATTATTTCCCCCTTCCTCTGTCTCCAAAAATAATCATTATCTTGAAGTTAATGAGTGCTATTACCATGTACGAGTTTGTACTTTTGTGACATATGGATAAAGAGCCACAAACAATATATATTTTTGCTTGGTGTGTTTTGCAAAAATGACTTCATAATGCATGTCACCTGTTTGCAATTTGCGCTTTTTTTTTTACCCGAAATTGTGTTGTGTTTTTTTAAGATTTTATTTATTTGAGAGAGAGAGAGAATGAGAGACAGAGAGCATGAGAGGGAGGAGGGTCAGAGGGAGAAGCAGACTCCCCGCTGAGCAGGGAGCCCGATGCGGGACTCGATCCCGGGACTCCAGGATCATGACCTGAGCCGAAGGCAGTCGCTTAACCAACTGAGCTACCCAGGCGCCCCCCAAAATTGTGTTTTTAAGATTTGTTCATTTTGCTACATAAATCTCTAGGTCTTTTTTTATTTTTATCTTATTCCATTGAGTGGATAAACCTCATTTTATATATCCATTTATTCATTATTTACTAAAGAGCAGTTGTCTCCACTTTTTCATAATGACAAATTGCACCGTGATGAGCATGTCCCTTCGTGCCCATCTGTGAGAATTTCTCTCAACAACGTAGCTTTAATTGACTTTGTGGACTTACAGGGCAGTAAGGCGAGTTCCATCAGCTCTACTGTGAATTTCCAAAACGGTCTCCAGAGTACCAATTTGTATGCCCATCAGCAATACCTGAGAGTTCCCATTTCTTCCATATTCTCAAACCTGTTATCAGGCATTACTTTTCATAATTGTATGGGTGATAAATGGAATCTTTTTGTTTTAATTTCTTTTTCCCTGATGATTTTTGAGATGTTTTTTGTTTATGGGTCTTCCCTCTGTGTATGGCCTTCATATCCTTTGACCATTTAGAAAAAGACAGGGTTTTGTTGTTTTTTTTTTAAAAGAACTCATTTCTAATAACAACTAAAAATATAATTGCCTAGAAATATATCTAACAAAAATGGGCAAATTTGTATGATGATATAAGCTTTATTGGAAGACATTAAAGAAGTATCCTAAAGAAAAGGAGAGCTACACATTTATCATGATGAAGAAGACTCATATCTTGAAGATGTACATTCTTCCTGAATCATTTGAAAATTGAATGTGTTCTCAGTCAATATTCCAACTATTGTTTTTGAGGAAATTTATAAGCTGGTTCTAAAATTTTACCCATGATTGGGATCCCTGGGTGGCTCAGCTGGTTAAGCATCTGCCTTCGGCTCGGGTTATGATCTCAACGTCCTGAGATCAATCCCCATATTGGGGATTGGTTCAGTCTGTTGAGCATCTGCCTTCGGCTCGGGTCATGATCCCAGGGTCCTGGGATCGAGTCCGGCATTGGACACCCTGCTCAGCGGGGAGCCTGCTTCTCCCTCTCCCTCTGCTGCTCCCCCTGCTTGTGCTCTCTCTCTCTCAAATAAATAAACAAAATCTTAAAATAAATAAATAAATAAATAGATAAATAAATAAATAAAATTTTACCCATGAGCAAAGGCCCAAGAACAGAAAATATATCCCTGAAGGAAAAGAATAAGATAGGAGACCCCTATGAGATACCAATGCTTATTAAAAGCTGTAGCAATTAAGAGTGGAGGTACATGGACAGAACAGGAAAATGGAATAGAAAGACCCAACCAGACCCTCACCCACATGGAAAATAGTACATTCCAGAAGAGACACAGAAGATCACCAAGAAAATGACAAGCCATTCAATGCATGATGCTAGGACAACTGGTTTTCCGTATAGAAAAAAACATGAAATTGTATCCTTACCTTACAATTGCTCTCAACTGTCCAATTCAAACTGATGGAAGAATTAAATGTCAAGGACAAAAATTAAAAGTTTTTTGAAAAATATATAGAATATTTCAGGAAGGAAGAGAAATATTTTTGTTAACAAATCAAATATTATATGATAAATTTAAAAAAATACATCTTTCTCGGGGCACCTGGGTGGCTCAGTCCATTAAGTGTCTGACTCGATTTCGGCTCAGGTCATGATCTCAGGGTCGTGGGATCAAGCCCCACATCAGGCTCAGTGCAAAGTCTGCTTGGGATTCTTTCTCTACCTCTTCCTCTGCACCCATCCCCTGCTCCTGCATTCTCATTCTATCTTTCTCCAAATAAATAAATAAATAAATAAATAAATATTTTTAAGAACCCATCTTTCTCAATGATTTGAAATGCTTGCTTGTCCAGTATTCAATTTCCACATATTCATGGGCCTATTTCTGGACTCTATTTGTTCCTGTGTAGAACGACATGTATTAATTACTCCAGTTTAATAATGCAGTTCAAGTTTTTCTTTTAAGACCTTATTATTCTTTCTCACTCACTTTTCTAATATAATTTAAGAATAATTTAAGGGGCGCCTGGGTGGCTCAGTCGTTAAGCGTCTGCCTTCGGCTCAGGTCATGATCCCAGGGTCCTGGGATGGAGCCTCACATTGGGCTCCCTGCTCGGCGGGAAGCCTGCTTCTCCCTCTCCCACTCCCCCTGCTTGTGTTGCCTCTCTCGCTGTGTCTCTCTCTGTCAAATAAATAAAATCTTAAAAAAAAAGAAAACATTTAAAAAAAAGAATAATTTAAGAATAATTTTATTAAATCCATGCATTATTTTTGGAAAATGGGTTTGCTAATGTTATTATTGAAAAAAGAAAGCTATTGGTGTATATTGTATATTTGAGTTATTATATTAGGTTCTGATAGTTTTTCAATTACTTGTCTTAGATTTCTCAGGAAGGCAAATATATCATCTGTCCTTTCCTTAAATATGTAGTTTTACTGCTTTGTCTTGTTATATTACACAGGCTAAAATTTCCAAAACAAAGCTAAATAATATCAACGTTAAGCATGTCTCATTTATCTTGAATTTGGCTGTTGGCTTTCAATAGATATCTGGAAACTTTTCCTTTCCCCTAGGTTACAAGAAGCTTTCACAGGAATGTCGCTGAATTCTGCTTAATGTCTTTCAAAATACCTATCAGGACAGTTATCAACAATTATGTGTCTATTTTGACTTACTGATGTGACAGATTAATGTTTTTCTTAATGTTGAATTCTCCTTTCACAATGGAATGAACTCCACTTACTCACAATATATTAAATATCATATTTGACTCAAATCGCTTTTTTAAGAAATGTTTTTTCTTTTATATTGATAAGCCAAATTTATCTATAGCTTTGTATGTGACAACTTATTTTTTAATAAAACTAAAAACTTTGAAAATAATATGTACTCATTATAGCAACAAATTTAAATATAAAAATTTACAAAGAAGAAAATTTCCTATAATCCCAATATGCAGAAGCAACCTCTGTTAATATTTTGGTGTATTTCATCTTAGTCTTCTGTGGGTGTGGGGGAGGGAGCATTTCCAAAGCTGAAATAAGTATGCAGCATGGTTGAAAATGGAATCTTTGAAATGGATTTAAATCCTGACTTTATGATTTATAAACTACACCACATTCATCAATATCCTTGATCTTTTGAAATCTCATTTTCCCAGGCAGTAAAATAATAACAGCCTCACGGGGAGAGAGGAGGGAGGCAGGAAGATATAAGTAAAGTTCTCGGTGCCTGGCACAAATAACCTCTAAATACATATTAGCTATGATCCGGCTGTACATACACTTTTGTATGCCTCTTATCACTGAATACTACACCATAGGCTTTTTTCCTTCAAACTTACAATAAACACAATTTTAAAATTTCCCCCTAGTGCATGTGTGTGCACACATACATACATATATAGCTTTATCTAATATTTGTGCATAAATTGCTGCCTACATTTCAGATTTTTTCCCCCTTGGTTTAGGCTCTCAGAAGGAAAACTATTTTGGACCAACACTGTGTGGAACTGTTTCAGGATTCCTGAACCAAACTGTCAAATTGCTTTCCAGAAAGACTGTGACAATGTGGGTTCCCAGCAGCTGCGTGTGAGAATGAGCCCCACCTCTTGGCACCCAGGGCAGCCCAGAACCATGTCTCCTCCATGTGAGGACCTCATTCTGCCCCCAGTAAATACCTTTCCTCTCAGACCCTGGGCCACGCTGTGGGGTGAGCGCCAGACACAGAGTGGGAACAAGACAGTCCGGGTTCCCCCTCCAGAGCTCACTTTCTTGTTGACAGGTGGCCAGTAAAGGGGAAGCCAGAGAATAAATAAGTAAATGGCCAATCATTTCCAAAAGAGGTAAGTGCTGGGCAGAAAGTAGAGGACAGTGTGATAGAATTACCTCAGAGGCACTGGGCTATTCAGACGATGAGGAAAGGCCTCTCCCAGGGTGTGACATTTTTAAACTGAGGCGGGGGCTCTGCAAAGGTCGGGAAGGGCAGTTGGAACAGCAGCGGGGAAGGCCCTGAGGAGGGCGTGCACTTAGGACATTCTAGGAGCGGGAGGTGGGGGGTCTGTGTGCTTGGAACAGGGCGAGCAGGAAGGCCGGGGAAGTGAAGGCAAAGAAGGGGGGCAGAGGAAGAAGGAGCTGGGCTTTCTTTCAAAATGCCACATTAAAGTATTTTAAGCAAGGCTGACTTACCTTTTAGAAAGATCACTGTGGCTGCTGTGTGGAGGAGATTGTGGGGTGCGAGCTCGGAAGCAGGGTCGCTAGGGAGGAGGCCACCCAGGAGGTATGGTGACAAGTAGTGGGACAGGGGTGTTAGTGGAAATGGGGGAAGTGCATAGAAATGGTGAGGTGCTAATGACAAGATGAGGACCTTCAGATGTGGTGGGGAGGGGAGAGGAAAGAGATACCCCTCCAACCTCCTGAAGGATTAGAACCTTCTGCTGCACCCCCTACCCCCTGCTGTGGGGCGTCTGCATTCAGAAGTAGAACCCAGTGTCCAGCAGGAATTTGACAGGTCCGTTTTTAAGCACTGAACGCCCTGCATAAACACACGGGAAAGTGGGTACTTGATCTGGGAAGCCGATCTAAAGCCTTAGCTAGAGCCTGAATTTGAAAGTTGGTCGGCACCTTGTGGCTCAAGGACCCCCCGGTGCCTGCGTGAAGCCACAGCACTGCTCAGTGGGGCGCTGCCAGCTCCGCGGCACCTAGGAGAACCAGGTTCTAGACCTGACGCCACCTTCAAAGGGCTATGGATCCTGCACATTCCCTTGCCCTCCCCCGGCCTCTGTTTCCCCTTCTGTGAAGTGAGCTCTGAGAGCCTGGCACCCATGGCACTCACTGACAGTCAGCCATCCGAGGATGCCTGGCTCCACATCTTTCTGATGACCCTTCCCGGGGCTCACCTCCTAGCCCCCCAACCTCCGCTGTGGGCACCAGGCTGGGCTGCTCTGGCTACTGCTGCTATGGAGAAATGCAGGGAAAAGGTACTTCTCTGGCTTTTCAGGAGTCACTCTCAGCTCTGAGAGGGGGGGGCTCTGACTCAGGGTCCAATTCGTGAGGCCTTGAGGAATAGGACCCCACCATGTCGCCAGGCCAAGAGCTCTGACTGCAGAACCGGGCTGCCCCCGATGACAGGCAGAGTCTCTTGGGCTGCCGGCTCGGCCGGGCAAGGCGTATGGTCTTCAGGAGCTGGGCGGCAAGCTTCTGCCCCCACAAGGGACCACTCACTCTCACAGGCCCAAGAAAATCTCCAAATATACTCTGAAAGCAGGTGAGGCACAGAAGAGCAAGGCATAAACTTCGACAGCAGGAGGCTCTCCAGACTCTAGAGGTATCTGGAAGGTCCGGGTGTGCTTGGAGGCTGGGAGGTCCATGATTGTCATGGGTCACACAGCAATGGGAATGAACTTAGTGTCATTGAACTGTGCGCTTAAAATGGTCAATTTTATATGATGTATATCTTACTGTGTGCACGCGCGCGCGCGCGCGCGCGCACACACACACACACACACACACACACACACACCAAAGTCCTTACAATATCAGACAAAACCCATGATCCACACCCTTCTCTTCTCCCTCGCGGTCTCCTTCCACTGTACCTGTGCCCACTCTGCTCCCAGCACACTGGCTTCCCTCCTGGGAAGCCCACACACTCCCACCTTCGGGCCCTTGCGCTCGTTTTTCCTGGGCCTATGACATCCTTCCCCAGACATTGCCGGCTCCTTCACCTCCTTCTGGCTCTGCTCAAATACCCCTGAGTAGCAGTGGGACCTTCCCTGACCTCTGAAGATAACACAAGCCCCATCCATTCCCAACCCAGGCGCTTCACTTGGATTTATTTTGCTCCATAGTCCCGATCGCCCCTTGACACTGTGTATTTACTAATTTGTTCAGTATCCTCTTCCCCCCACTGGAAAGTAAGCCCCATGAGGGTAGGCCTTTGTTTTGCCCATGGACGTAACTCCACTCCCTGCACACAGTGTCCGTGCACGGATGTTTCTGAGTGAATGAATGGACGGCCCCTCTTCAAACATGGCACCCGTCTTAATATCTACGGTGGAACGTGTCATGGAATGTGGTCTTTGCAACAGCCTTGTGAGGTTTTGGAGGGGAGGGTACTGAGCTTGGGGTGATGCGATGATGCATCAGGAATCCCACCCCCTCACTCTAGTCCTTGCCTTTTCTCTTCACCTCATGGCCCAAACCACTGTTGTCACTTTTCCCGCCACAGCAGGAAGAGAAGGGATTGTAAATCATAGCGAATGCATTTCAGCCACAGCTCTGTGTCTTTGCAAGACTATGCTCTTCTCATCTGGGAGCCACTCGGAGAGCTTCTGGCATCTTCTGTGTGCAGCACGCTACAGAAGTTATAACCACGTGCTAACAGTAGCTCCCTTATTAAACACACGCTCCACGCTTTCACTTTCAATAGGCTCCCCTCCATAATTGCTAGAGAGAAAGAATGTCTCCCTTTGGGCACACCGGTAGGGCAGTTCTTAGCCACTCTTCCTTTGCCAAGAGGAGACCTAGTGTTTTGAAGGCCCAGCAGCATGGAGTGCTTCTCCCTGTCACTTCTACAGACCAGACTGGAGATTTCCAGACCCCCGTTCCCCCTTCCCCCTGGGACAGCGTCCATTGAGCCTCTTAGCTTCCTGAGGGTACAGAGGGTTTTACATAAAATCTGCAAGCCTGGAACATCTAGACCAATCCACCTTTATTCCCACCTGTTTCCTTCCTTCTGTGATGCCTCCCTCCCATCCTTCCTCCCTCCCTCCTTCCACCGTTACTAAGTGTGCTAAATACTTGTCATTTTTATTCCCTTCCACACCCATTGAGTGTTCTGATTTTAGTTCTTGGGAAAAATGGGAGAAGATGAAGAACGTATAAGACCTACTGGATTATCTTTTTCTCAAGAGACATCAACAAGTGTTTCTTGAGTAGATCAGGAAGCCCCTGGGAAGGGGCAAAAGGTCACCAGCAGCCCCTCTTTTGAGGACTCTCTGCTGCACCACACAGGGAGGGGAGATCTCCCCCCACAGATTGCTGGTGCCCTCCCTGCGCTGTGTGGTCTGAGGTTGTCCCTGGCAGTGTTTGTCCAAATTCTTTTCCTTTTTTACCAGGATCATCATTAAGAAACACTGTATATCTGTAAGCTAGAACATACCCAGACGCACATATGCACACCCCCCACCACCACCATGAAACAAAAGTTCAGGAAACATTTTTTACCCTTACTGTAACAATGCACTTGGACATTTTCTAGTCTATTCTACTTTATTTTTTTAAAGTTTTAATTGTGGTAAAATACACATAACATAAAATTTACCATCTTAAGTTTTAAGTGTGAAGTTCAGTGATGTTAAATAGATTCACATTGTTGTGGAACCAGTTCCAGAACTTTTTCATCTTGCAGTATTGAAACTCTATATCCATTAAAGAGCAACTCCCCATTCCCCCTCCACCAACCCCCAGCAACCACCACTCTACTTTCTGTCTTGATGAATTTGACTACAGTGAATACTTCACGTAAGTGGAATCATTCAGAATTTGTCCTTTTCTGACTGGCTCATTTCATTTAGCATAAGCTTCTCAAGGTTAATCCAGGTTGTGGCATGTGTTTAAGTTTCCTTCCCTTTAAGGCTGAATAATTATACAAATATGTACCGTACAAATATGCAACAATTTGCTTACCGATTGTTCATCCCTTCAAACATGGCTACTATGAACAATGCCTCTATGAAAATGAATATGCAAACATTTTTTGAGAC